TCCAGGCCACATCCCTAAAGTTGGAGAAGATAATAAATGAAAAGATGTCCAAAAGAAGGATACAAATAATAGAGCTTCAGAAACTAGAAAACCCCCAAAAAGAAGAAAAAAGATTATTAATAAGACTTCATATTTTTTAGTGAATTCTCTTAATAAATCTCTAGACCAAATATGAAAACTATAAATTAATCCAAATAAAAGATGATAAAATATAAGAAAATAATTCTATGAGAAGTGAATTCCAGTCCAACAATAAATATTAAATCCTGTAAAGATAAATAGAATTATAATAAGAGCAAAGATTAATAACCAAGAACTATTAATAAGAAAACAAAATGAATCTGATGTAACTTCTAAATGTTTAGATTTCCAAAATACCAAGGGTGAACCGTTGAATGGATTATGAGGATATGATGCCATTACTAATATTATAGGGAAATTCCTTAACCTTATATGACCTAGATTTACATTATTCCTCTTACCTTTTCCTCCATCCATGCATTCTTTAGGTTATTCATTATGCTTATTTCCCTTCCATTACAACTTCTCTTTATATTATTAGTGGAAGGGAAAGAACCATAAATGAACCCAAGAAGGATGGGAATAAAGCTTCATGAATGTCTCTATCAACAAATGCAAGGAAAATAAGATCTGATGCAAATGAACCTAAGAAATAAACCACTAGAAAGAACCGTGCCTGGCTTACGCTTCACTTCTTCTAAATCCTTCTATCCTTTGAGCTATTTCTTATTAACTCTGGACTCTTATAACTCAACACTCGTATCTCAGAGTCTTGTTTCCCGGCATGAGAAGCTGGTTCCATATTGACCGTGAATAATAACTTCTGGAATCTTATCACGTTCTATTTCCCTGTTACACCTCTATAACCAGGATACCAAGCAAGATTTCCATTATAATTAGGGTTGGTTGGTATAGAGCTACAATATGAATAGGAAGTAGGATGCGGTTCCTCTTTATGTTATGTTTAAAGCAAACTAAAGAATAATGGAACCGCATGACAAATAACCAACTAAATAAGACTTAGGACCCTCATCAATGGTTGGTAGAGTTGGTAAAGGACAAAGGAAGTCAGGGAATGGTTCGTGATTAGTTTATTTAAAATAAAACCATTCACTTCATATCTTACTTCTCTTACGTTTACTTCTCTTTCATCTTACCTTTAGGAGAGTTTACCATTAGATTACAAGGAATTATTATTGGAGAACTACCAAAGGAAAGTAGGATTATATCTCTAGGGAATATTTTAGTGGTATCTTGGGTCTTTATCTCCATCCTTCGTGCCCTGGACATTATGAGGAATCTTGTAGTTATAATCTCCCATCTTGGAAGTGCCACTCATGAACCTTGTTAATAATGTTTAACTCAATTCACCAGGCTATAATGGTCCAGGGAAAGCCAGTCAAGGTTCTTTGTTCTCTGTTCTTTTTTATAATTAAATTCGCGCTTCACGTTCGTTCCATTGCAATTTAATTATATAAAAAGCACAGGAACACCAAGAACCAGTTTAAAGGAAGCGAAGCGGTGAACATGAAGAGAGTCTCTTGCTTATTTTAATTGAATAAAACACAAGGCGTGAAAGGAATGAACAACGCGTGGTTTTATTTAATTAAAAATGAGCAAGATACGAACGAAATAAATAAGACTTGGAGATGAAGACAGAAGACTCATGCATCTAGTTCCAGCTCCAGCGGTAAGACTCATGAAAAGACGAGTGTTATCCAGACCAGGCGTTAACAGGGTTCGGTGGCTTATTTTTTCCCTTTGCCAACTTATAATGCTGTGAGAAAAAGGAAACGGTAATGGAATGAAAGGAGTGAGTGAAGCACGCGTTCCTTCTTCTCACGCCTTATTTAGTTGGCAAAAGAAAAAATGACCCAACCTTGGACTCGTTCACTTGTAATGGTTTTGTTTAATTAAAATGAATGCGTGCGCTTCTCTTCTTTCGCTTACCATTTTATTTTAATTAAAGAAACCAGAACAACAGAACGAGAAGGAATGAACGGTGACAACAGACCCTGATTTCCAAGGTGTTACACGGTTATAGCTGGAGAACCTGATGTTGATGGTTCGTGTGTTTAGTTTAATAATAAAAAACAAGGGACGCGTGTTTTTATTAATTAAACACAACACAAACGAAACAACAACAGCAGATTCGCAAGCCAGGTTTCGTTCGTATTTTGCTCGTTTAATTTGCTTTATTCATGCTTCCTCTCCACTCGTCCCTCGCTTTCGTTTCATTATAATAAAGCAAAATAAACAGCGCAAAAGACTCTCTTCACATTAACACGAACCTGGCATCGTGACTAAATCTGACCTATCATGTGGTAAGTCTCCTGTAGGCCAAGGTGAATAGAATGTCCTAAGCTTATATGATTATAGGATATCTTAATGGTAGAATATCTTGTAGGTTACTGTCATTAAGAATTATTAGAAGAAAAGAAAGGACGCATGCCAGGAATAATTAGGATGTGGTTCCTTGTAGTCATTATCTTTACTCTGGAATCTTTTAATGGGATTCTCCTATGTTTAAGGGTCCAAGAATAATGATAACGGGATTTCCTTGAAACAAATAAGCATATTGGATGGGCGGTTGGATTCATTATAACAGAGCTTCGTGGATTCAATTGTAATTAATATAAGATAGACCAGAGAACACCCAACCGCTAATATGGTTCCTTTCGGCTTTATTCTCATCCTACTTGGTATCTTATCAATATTCTCTTGTGCTTTGTTAATAATAGAATATGCATTAGAAATAGGTCAAAGTATTCATGAAGGTTACAATATTCTATCTACAAGCTATTCCAGAAGTTAGAATGCCGTGAGTGGACGGTAGGAAAATAAGAAGCATAATAAATAACCACACGCCAGGAACGGTTCTCTTGTTTCGTTTACTTTTAATAAAATCATGCTTTCATTCGCTTCTCTCACTTCATTATATTTTATTAAAAAGTAAAAAGAAACAAGGCAAGAGAAAGGAAGGTGAGTGTTGTTTACTTTGCCTTTATTTCAATGAGAAGGAAGCGAAGCGAGAATAAAGGCAAAGCAAAAGACACACACCACTTCTCTTTCCTTTTTGCTTCTTATTTTGCTCTTTTTGGGTTCGTTTCGTGCTTCATTCGTTTCTCTCACTCCATTACAAACGAACCCAATTAAAAAGGCAAAAACGAAGGAAAAAGAGCCATTTCGTTCCTTTCTCGCTCCTTTTTTATTTATTAAAACCGCGCATTCGTTCCATTTCATTCTTCTCCTTTGCGTTTTAATAAAGAAAAATAGAGCGCGAGAAACTCTCTTCATATATTTCTAGTCCTTCTTGGGTGATTTGTCTTTCTTTTCTTTGCACATTCGTTTCGCGCTTCCGTTACACTTCATTGCAAACGAATGTAGCAAAAGAAAAGAGACAAATGAACCCAAAGCCTACATGACAGTCACTTCCTGGTTCTGTTCTCTTATTGTGTGGTGTTGCGTTATTAATTAAATTAAAGGAGAACCACGCTTCCCTTCTTTCCATTGTGTTCTTTTCCTTTAATTTAATAAAACACAAGCAACACACAACAAGGAACAGATAAAGAGGAAGTAAGGTGGAAAGGAATAATGAAGAGCATGAATTGAATAAAATAAACACGCATGCGTTTCACTTCTTTGTTTTATTTAATTCATTTCATTTATCTTCATTGTTCGCTTCTCTCACCTTTATTTCTCTAATTAATATTCTCTTCAATGAACAATAATTAAACTCAACACAATATGAAGAAACACTCACCAAATATTAGAATTCTCCAAAATATAATGGGAATTTAGCATGAGAATGAGCTCCAAGAATAATATTATAGGAAGGATGAATGGAGACAAAGGTGGATTCCTCTAATAAAGGTTTAGGTCCTTCATCAAAGGTAATTCTCATTAATATATATGGTAAGAGGAGAATATGTGTATTTACTAATTAAAATGTGTACTCTTCCAATATTTAATGAAGTGTAACGGTAGATTACTAATAAAGGTTGAACAAGGAGAATCCCATTAAGAATTCCTATAGAAGTAAATAAAACAGAGAACACCTATATTATAATTGTAATTCCCTAACCGTTCATTCCATTCACTCTTTTTATAATGGAAATCAGTTCATATGCTGGCTCTCACGTCACAAGCTCCTAAATCCTATGTCCTTCTAATAATATAACTAAATCTTCCTATTCATCTAGGTCCTGGTGTCATTAGGTGATAGGGAAGTCCTAGAAGCACATGGAATAAGGAATCACCCAGTAATATTAAGTGAGACAATATGAAATAGAATTATGGAAGGAAAGTCAAGGGAAACAATATGCTTTCTTTGGGATTCACCGCATTCTACTTCCCATCTCTCCCGTACACTTGGCATATTAGAAGTAGGACATAATTCATAGAAACAAAGGTGGAACCAGAGAAGCGATTCCCAAGGTGATTACAGGGTTAGGCGGTTACACCCAGATAAAGGACCAGGAACGGTGGTAACTCCTAGACAAATAACTTAACGAGACAGGCGGTTGGCTTCCAGGATTTATTGTCTAGTTTTCTTTGAATAATTCTAATTAATATCTTCTCTTTGTATTCTTTCTCTTATCTCTTTACATCATTTCCATATTATTTTAGGTTTACTAATCACCAACCTTTGTTCCCATTATTCCCTTCTTGTGTGTTATGTTTAAATGAAAAAGAAGTGAAACAAGTGAAATGAAAAGTAACGCGTGTTCCTTCTTTTTACGTTTAAAATTAACACAAACAAGAAATGAATAATGAGGAACAGGAGCCTGTGTTGAATTTAAAGAAAGAAACACGCGCTTCGCTTGTTTTCTTTCATTAAACTAAACACAGGAGACAGGAAGAGGGTGGTGGTGGGCAAAGGAGGAAGGATGTAGAAGGGAAATGCATACGTTCCTTTCCTTTACGTTTCGTTCCATTAAAAATTATTTGCAACGAAAGAAGAACGAAACGTGAAAGGAATGAACAACGCATGCCAGGCTTGGAGAATAGGGAAAGAGGATAAAGAAATGAGAGATAACGAGAAGGACGAACGAAATATTCTCTTCATTCATTGTTCGTTCATCGCTTCTCTCTTCTCTTTCTTTATCATCTTTCATTGCTTTTCCTTTATATTTCTTCTCTCTTTCCCTTTGCCTTCTTTCATGCTTTCTTTTCACTTTGTTCCATTACATTATAAAGAAGGCAAAGAGGAAAGGGAAACGAGAAGAAGCATAAAGGAAAACATGAAGAGAGTATTTTGTTTCTTTTTCCTATTGAATTAAAACAAAAGATGAAAGACTGCGTGTTTAATTCAATAGAAAAAGGACAAAATAGGAACCTTGGAATCGCATGCCAGGTACGTTCTATTTCTTTTGCTCTTTTAATTTCGTTGCAAAGAATGCGCGAACAAATAAAAAGGCAAAACGAAATGTGAACGTAACGAAAGCATGCGGTGAACAAGGCAGACATAGGACCAGGAAAACCGCTTCTCATTTCTCACTCTTTTGTTTCAATGAAGTGTAACGAAAGCGAGAACAAAAGGAGAGAGAAAAAGAGAGCGGCAAAAGACCCAAATTTTCTAGTTGATTTCGTGCTTACATTTCTTTCCATTACAAATCAACTAAAAATTGGCTCTTTTGTGGTTTTCCTTTATCTCTTTTCTATTTATCTGGTTCGTTCCTTTTTCCCTGTTCCTTTTGCTACATTCGTTTACAATGGAAAGTGAGGAACGAACAGGGAAGCGTGAAACGAATGTGCAAAAGAGAAAAGGGGAAAACGAACGAGCCTTTATTTCTTTTGTTCATGC